CTGTAATTTTATAATCATTGGGCAACTTCAACCCTTTGTGAATGGGTTGAAGTCACCTCAATCTAGAGGAAATCCTTTGATCCTTGTTCCCTAAGACGTGATAGCTATATCCATGTGAAAAACCTTCATTTTTGTGAAATTTTTCTTTTGCAGAAAAGTTCTTTCATGTTGTTTTGTCGAATGATTAGAGGTAAGCCCTCTATTACATTGTGTAACGGATGGTAGCTATAACTTCACGACTACCCTAGAACCTATGCGAGATTGCTAGAAGCATTCAATTTGCCATTGAGATGTGATTGGGTATGTGTCTCTTGAATATAAGCATTTCCTTAGAACTTGCATTTTAAAATAAAAGATTTTGCATACTTTTTAGTTTGGAGACGTTATGCCTAGGACACCATGTCGTGGTCCAAGTCAACTCAGATAACTCATGTTTGTTTCGTTTATGTGTTATTTCATATTTTGTTTCATGAGTAGATTTCAAATAAAAATACAAAAAATACACTTAAGACAAAAAGAAAAATGAAAATCTCCTACGAGATGGTTTTCACCGCAAACAAAACCAATTCTTAAAAATCAAACTCAGAACTCAAGAAGAATTTTAATTTCTCATTACGACTAACAAACCTAGGAACTTGAACAAAATTAAATATTGAAACTTAAAAAACTTTTAAAGTATACCAAGATAAAGAACGAGAACAAAACCTAGGTAGATATGAAATGGACCTTAGGTTAGCTAAATTTGACATCAAACCGAGGATCATACACTTATCCCAGGTTAGTCTAAGTATAGAAGTCCAAGGTTAGTTTGATAGGTACCTTAGTTAGTGCTAAGGGATAGGACATACAAAACAACAAACCTACTCTCTAAGACTAGATGGAATACCTTAAAATGATGTAACCCATGGTTACTGACAAAGGTATTTCAGACTACTTTGAAATTATAAATCCTCCATATTATGACATTTAAGACTAATTTGAAATTATAAATCCTCCATATTATGACATTTAAAGGGGATTCCAAGTTATGAGGATGATTATAATTAGTGGATACAAACGTTCCTGGAATGACAGAAAGTCGTGAGCATTTTAATCAGGGATGTTATTCCCAAACTATAGGTTAGCTCGCTCCTTAGAATTCCTTATAGAATCTAGTTAAATTTCTCATCTAGAAATCTTTTTTACTCGACTCTATCCTTAGCTTAAGGCTTCCAACTATTTTTATTAGTCAATTTGAGTATTCTTGTTGATCAATTCAAACTCATTATCATCTCTTTTAAAACTCTTCAATCATCACTTTTTCGGTATAGAAACCCCCCTCCCATTTGATGGTCAAATCCCTACATTAAGGTAATTCCCATGACACATTGTCAATTGTAAGTCCCATTCTTCTGATCTTATGAGTGATATGATGTTAACTCATTAGAAGTCAAACAAGCTCTTGCTAGATTTTGTTATTTGATGGTAGAACTTGAGTATGAAGTGTAAGCTTTCTCTTCAAGAGCAGCTTGTTGTCACTCTTCTCATGGGTAAAATTAAAGCCCCTATCTCTTTCTTATTGAAGATGACTTCAATTAAGACTATTAAGGTTTTGATAGGGAATGTGGTTAGCCTACAGAAAACAACAAGTGCCTTGGTCTTTAATATTGATGATAAGACCAAAGATAAGAAGTCCCTTTCAATGGGTCCTTTGAAGAGAGCAAAAGAGAGTTTGGCTCTGACGACATCTGATAGGAAGCAAAAAAAACCTAAGGTGTATTCCTTCAAATTAAAAAAATGCTTAAAAATTCAATCAAACAGGGTATGCAGCTCTAATCGCCAAAGAGGCCCCATGAGTTGGAAAAGTCCAAATAGCCCAAATATTGCCCCTAACACAGACACTTAGGGCATGTTCTTGAAGATTGTTATTCGTTTGAGGATTGGCTCAAGGCGCATCACAAGGTCGGAGAAATAAAGATACCAGAGCAGTACTTGGAGAATCCTCTTGAACGAGAATCAACCAAAGTTATTGCGGCCACTCCAACCATACCTTTTGTGGATGTATAATTGATGCGTCTTCTTTTTTAATTCTTACGGTGAATTTTTTCAGGTAGGGTCAAGTTGGCACCGGTACTGATTTCGTGCTCGAGGCACATACCAGGAGGTTTGATTGTATGTCTAGAACGACGAGAAGCTAGACACAGTCATCTCAGTGTATGTTACATCAAAAACTAATGCCAACAAACTTCATGGGTGTAACCATCAAAACTTGCAACTAAGTTGATTCGTGCACTACCCATTGCAGATCATGTCACTAATGGATAGGGAACCACCGCTGGAGCTTTACCCATTTCAAGCTAAAGAACATAAATTTATATTTGATGCTTGAGCATTGTGGATCAGTTCTTGTGTAATTTATTCCTCGGATGTTAATTGTCATTGTCAGTCAAATTTAAATATTTTTTTTTTATCAATAAGACATTTATTTGTCTATGTCAGTTTTCTAAAATGTTAATTGATCAGGCCTCATGCATCGTTGTCTTTTTTGGAAAGTCTTTACCAATCGAACATCATGCATCACTTTTTATTTTGGGAAGATATTACCAATTGGACTTCATGCTTCGTTGTTGGTTTTGATTCTCGGGTGAAACCACCACTAGTGGAACGGTTTGAGTTCCCCTAATGTAAGCTGAACTTTAACAATTCCTTGCATGAACTTCTCAAGTTCTCTGAGTGTTAGACGGATCCAGAAATATATGTGCAATAGAAAAAGTTTTACTTAACCATTTTTATAAACTTGACAATAAAATACAATAATTCAAATGATAACATATCATTACCGAGCCTAGGGTCATTGAGGTGTCAAGTTTAACTTCCTCGATGGGTGCTCTATCGATCGCTCGGCAATCCAAGTGACTTTGTGAGCCTTTGAGATGAGTATGATCCAAGCTGTGAGGATTATGTCTTGGCTCCTGGTTCACTACATGATTGGTTATCTTCCGTGGATGACGGTTGAGTCGTTCAGTTATGAATGATGTAGGGTAGGAGTTGTACTTCTTGACTGATATATGATTATCAGCTATCTCCAACAACTAATTAATGTCTTCGGTTAACATAAACCTAAAGCATACTAGTAAGGTCCTTTGTTCAACCCTTGAGCTAAGGCAGCTTGAACTACTACGGGCTCTAGATGTACTTCCAACATCTTCTTTGTGAAGTAGGTAATGAAAGAGCAAAGGCTCTTGTTCACCCTTGTCTGACCTTCAAAGGGCCTGTGAATTCTTCTAGGTCTTCTGAGCGCTGGTATACTATGTCATAAAAATTCACTTGAAATTAGCAAAAAATGTGATTTCTCCCGACACCATTTCATTGAACCACCTGAGAGCTAACTCCCTTAGTGTGTTAAATAAAAGACGATACTTTAGAGCATTGGTGATCCCCAATAGGCACACAGTCGACTCGAAAGAGGTTGTGTAGTTTGATGAATCTGTATGGCCTTATAGGACTCCAATGTCAGGATCTTGAATCTCTTTCAGGACTCGACCTCAAAGATTTGTCAAGTGAGTGCATTCTCTGGTTGACAGGGCTCTTCAATATGTCTGAACTATAGTCTGTCGTTCAGTGTTGACCCAACACTTTCAATGTACTAGGAGTCTCCTTATCTATCCAAAGATAAAGGGTCTCTTTGGATGTTGGGCACTGACCCTTCCTCCTGAAGATTTTGTTCCCTTT